GGTCCCTTCCAACTCCTCATATTCTGTTATTTGAGGTTGAAAGCAGGGCGAGGTGGGCCATTTGCCATGTTTATTTGTCAGATGTATCCGCTGTCTTTCCAAGAGCACACACACAAGGCAAAGCTTGGAAACTGTGAGATGCAGAAGATGCTGCTCCCCTGGGGAGCTCGTAAAAATGTTTTTAAATATCAAAGGTTGTTCCCAGACATGTGAGACAGGACAGAACTGTGAAAAGCTTCACTCTCAGGCCAGCTGCTCTACATCAGAAATGTTCCAAAGTGCGTGGTGAGCCTCAAAGCATCTGAATGCAGGTGAAATGATAAATTTAGCCTTGGACTTGGAGGAGGTCTTTGCCTTTAGCCAAAAAAAGTTTCCTACTACCTCAGAGTGGTTTTAGCACATCGATTTTCCCTGCTGGCACTGAGCTGCTGTGTTTTATTAGGCTTGTTGGTGCTACAGACAACATTAAATCATGCTTTAGACTCAGACATTAGAAGAAAACCCATCAAGCCTGTAGAGCATCGTCTCTCTGGTTATTACATTTGCCTCCTCTTTGTTTCAGGACTCCCCTGATGATGGCTTGCACCAGGCAAAACTTGGAGGTGATCAAAGCTCTCGTGGAGCATGGAGCCAACCCGCTGCTGAAAAACAAGGACGGTTGGAATTGCTTCCATATCGCGAGCCGGGAGGGCCATCCCCAGGTCCTCCGGTACCTCCTGGATGTGTCCCCGGGCTGCTGGGACACGGAGAGCACGATAAAGAGAACGCCTCTGCACACAGCAGGTAAAAGAGGGTCCCATTCACACAAGAAAAGTTGGAAGAGACGAGCAGGCTGTGGTGGCTGAAACAAAAGGGCTGTTGTTTCATCTCCCATTTAGTTTGGAGAAGCAAAGTGTGACCTATCTTGACACAAATCCGCAGGGAAACAGTTAAATATTAAGTTATTGAAATTAAATGAAAAGAGGCATTAGTGGGAGCTCACGTGTCTGAACTTCAGTTCGCTGACAGTGCTCTGCTGCATCTGTGCAGGGTTTCACCTCAGGACTGACACTCATTTTTAGTTGCTTTCAGATAAATAAACAGCAAGAATTAGGCTTACTCTTTCTTAATGATGTGCCAAAGGCACCGCTTGTGTGGTTGGAGGGTCCTCAGTTCCCATTTCCCTGGATTTTCCCTGCACTCAAAGCATGTTTTTGTGGTGCGTAGCAGTTATGTGCTATTGGGAGCAGTGGATCCATCCCAGGAGCACTTGTGATCACCCATTAACTGTGGCCTTCTTGGACCAGGGTGTTTGTCTCCATCTTTGCCTTCCTATGACAGATATATCCAAGCTCCCACAGCTCAGTGGGATACACTTTTCCTTGCTGGCATATAAAGCTGCCAGACTCCAAGCATATCCTGGCATTTTAAAAGTCCTAAAAGTGGCAGAGCTGCTGAGAGGCACTTTTTGGGACCTGTCAGTTTGGTTTGTAGTCTCATTATCAGTTTTGGTAAGAGATGTATCTCTCAGAATGATTTATTTTTGTCTGAATGCTTGGTGGATTAGGTCCTATGGCAAATCTAAAGAGTTTAGGGTCTCTAGGCACAAGCTGCAGAAGAAACATTACAGATTTTGGTATTCTTGCCTTGTTTTTGAGAAGGTAATAGCTAGTGGTGAGAAATCTAGAGTGCCTTTCTGCAGTGAGGAAAGGAGAGTTTCTGCTGGGGCTGTTGTTAGGGTTGAATCCCACCATGTCCAGTTCCCCTTCTCTGCCTTTTTTTATCGATTTAAAGGACATCTAAAAGGAGTGAACTGGTTTGAGGGACCACGGATGTCATTGGGCTTGGTGGGGAGCAGAAGGGCACAGGTAGCGTTGGATTTGGTGTCTGGCTTTCTGCCTCTTTCATCCTTAAGATGGGGGGAAGCGATTCATTTTAATTAATGAATGCTGCACGAGGTGTGCCTCAGTTAAACCTTCTGAGCCTTAATAAGTTGAACGGCCCAAAAATTCATTAATACAGAATTAAGTTTGTCCCACTGTGTCTCATTGCCCCTTATGGTATCAAGTCTGGTTACCCACAGACCTTAATAGATTTAATAGGGATCGACTCTCCGGAAAGACCCGAGGTGTCGTGAGAAGACCCCTGCTGTGCTGTAATTAATCTGTTGGGAATGTTGCTCCTTGGCTGTCGTTCCCGTTATTTCTCCAGCCCTCGGTAGCCGCCTGTTTGCCACATTCTGCTCATCAACGGTGACAATCCCAGCCCAGGGGCATTGACTGCGCCTTAGTCCTTGTGCTTGACCTGGGAACGAAAAATCGCTGAGGAGTTGTTTGATGTTTCGGGCTGGGCGATGAGGAGTGGGCTGCCTGAATGAAGAATGGTTAATCCTCATTTATTTGCACATTTTCCTGTCCCTGCTCAATCCTTGCCCTTGTGTTTCTGTGTCTGGGCTCGCAGCCTTTTGACCTTGAGCTTAAAGGCTCCTCCTGGCCTCATAGCACTCGGGATTTTGGGGTACAGACAGCGATGGTGGGATTCAGCACCCCCTTCTCACTGCTTCATAGAGGTGTCTCCATCTCTTTGTGACCTCCCACGTTTGACTTTCCCAGTGTCAAAGCCACCAACCCATGATTTGGGTTGATTTCTGGTCATTTGAATGATCCAGGTTAGACTTGGACCTCACACTGGTGGAGCAGCAGCCGGTGCAGGAGCGACTGGGTAATGGGAAGGGCTGGAGCTGCTTAACCCACCTTCACCCCCAGCATAATTTTAACCCAGGACAATGCTGGGGGCTGCTGCTCAGTGGGTGCTGTTCCCCACACACCCCACCACATAGCCCAGCTCTGTAGGGAGGGGCACAGGCGAGAGGCCGGAGGTGATGCTGGAGCTGCCGGGGGAAATCAAGTCAAGACAAATGGCCGTCTCGATGAGTTTACATCCCAAGGGTGTGCATATGAGCGCATTAACCCGTGACCAGTCCAGCTGGCTTCCTGGCACGCTACTCCCTAGATAGATGATGGGTAATTTTCTCCCTTGTGCAATTTTATTTTATTTTTAAATTATTTTTCGGGTTGATTCCTCCAGCTTTGCCGCTTCGTATATCCGGAGCCTGAGGCAAGAGAGCAGGGGAGATGTAATTAGAGGAAGTGGAGTGCAACAGTGGATCTGAGCGCCGCAGCTTTCTCGTGTCTCTGCTGCTGTTAAAGGTTGTAAATCGTGCCGCTTGGGGTATTTTCTTCATGTAACTTGGGGTTTTTTTTAAAGCCTCTGTTTTGAAAATCCTTTTTGCAGTGTGGCTTTGCCTGCGTTTATGGCAGCTCAGGTGAAGGAGTGAAAAATGGTCAGGATCAGGGAGGATGGGATGTTCAAAGAGCATCTATTGTGCAGCTGAAGGTTATTGCTGGTAACACACATTTGCCAGAGGCCCTTCTTCCATCACACAGAGGAAAATAGAAGCTGCTACATCAGGCTGGCTTGGTTTAGTACATTTTTTCCTTTAAAGTATTTCATTTATTTTGCAAAATGACTTGCAGGGGGAAAAAAGCCAGATCAAGGCTGTCCTTACATTGCTGTAATACGATGTGTTTTAGAAAAATAAGGAGAGGGAATATTTCAGTGCGTGACGCTGAAATCCTCCCCCGCTGCTGTTGTTTTTCCTCGGAGATGCTGTCTGGGTGCGGATGCTTCATTAGGATGATGAGATGGGAGTGATGGGTCGTTGGAGTGGCTGAGGAGGGCTGGAAATGCTGTCCACGCTCCCCGCTTTGTGTTCATTTTGCCTCTCACGGATTTCACTTCAGGGATTAACAAATACTTGCAAGAAAAGGTCTTTGTGTCAGCTTAATTGCGTGTACTCTCTCACGCATGTACTCTGCAGGTAGAGGCAGACGGGGTGCCTATACGCATGCCTTTATTCCTGATTTAGCTGGTGTTTTCCTATAGGATCAGAGGAAGGGAAGGTTTGAGACCTGAGATAAGATTTTAATTACAAAAACTAATAAAAAGCTTTGAATTTAAAGCCTCTTGCAACCCCTTCCCACATCCTGAGTGTGCCAAAAGGGTCAAAAACCTGATTATATTTCACTGTAGCCGGATGGTGGCATGAAAACATAAATTAACCCTCCGCTTCCTCTCTCTCTGGCAGCAATGCACGGCTGTTTGGACGCTGTGGAGCTGCTTCTGGAGCGGTAAGCAGGCTTCCTCCTGGCTCTGCCTTTCTCTCCCAGCTCTCCCCCGCCTCCCATCCACCGCTCCACGGACACAAAGGGCGTTTATGCCGTTTGGGAAGCCCAGCTGCCCCGCGTGCGATCCTGAAGCTGTGTCCGCGTCCTCCGGGTTTTTCACGGCCGGTTTGGGGCCTTTGAGACAAGGACGGGCTCTGACTTTGCTGTGACATAAACCCCAGTTATATAACTCAGCTGTTTTTCTATGCTGATTCATTCCCGTTGCCTCTGATGTGTCCGAGACCCATACGATAACAACAAGTTTTTGGCAGCTCGGTTTCTGGGTGCAACTCCTCAAAGCTGGACTCAGTCTCCAGGCTTTATTTTAGGCTGTAGCTCCTGTGAAGTGGCTTTAAATCAGCTCGTGTCCAGCCATCCTGACCCTGTTACCTTCCTGACCAGCACTGCCCGCTGCCAGAGCTGGAGCAGCTTTCCCTGGGCATCGCAGCTCTCATCCCAGCATAAACATAGCCCTGTGATTCGAGCCAGGCTTTCCATTTTAATTCAGCCTTCTCTCATTTCAATGGAGCTTTAACCTGAGCAGGCTTTGATTTTGTACGTGGTGGTGTTACATGAGGATATGGCTTTTCCCCTCTGCCAGTGCACACCGTGCCCCTTCCAATGATCCTCTGCTCAGAGGACAAGGGAAATAAAAGTGATCTGTAGAGCCCTGGCTTTCCTGCAGCCTGAGCAAGCTGCACCAGCCAAGTACGACATCTCCAACCCCAAAACCTCATGCTGTAAAACACCAAGAAATGTTTATGCATAGTGGACAGGCAAGCTTTATATCTGCCTTTTCCAATCCCATCCACTGATAGTCTCTTGCCTTGCCAATTCAAAGCAACTGATGCAGGAAGGTTTTTGAAGCTGCCAACGATTCTGTCCTGGCTTTTGTTTTTCCTCCCAGGTGCCAGTACAAACCTGACAGCAGAGACAAATGTGGAGTCACTCCCTTTATGGATGCTATCCAGAACGGGCACGTCAACATCGCCCGGCTGCTCCTGGATAAACACCAGGTAGGTGCCAAAAACCTCACCTCCCTCCTCCAGGACCTGACCGAGAACTGCCAGGACAAGCAACCCATGTGTTCACCGTAACCAAATTGTAAAGAAGAGGATTCCCAAATTGTAAAGAAGAGAATTGTGAAAGAAGGCAAATCTCACAGAATCATTGAGGTTGGAAGAGACCCCTAAGATCATCAAGTCCAACCATCAACCCAACACCTCTGTGCCCACTCAACCTTGTCCACTTCTTGAACCCCTCCAGGGATGGGGACTCCACCACCTCCCTGGGCAGCCCCTTCCAGTGCTTGACCACTCTTTCAGTTAAGAAATCTTACCTCAGATCCAATCTAAACCTCCCCTGGTGCAACTTAAGGCTATTACTCCTTGTTTTTCCTAGGGATGAGTGAGATTTTACTGAGTAAGGCCACCAGGACTCAGCTCATGGGGAAGACAGAATCACAGAGTTGTTTAGGTTGGAAAAGACCTTTAAGATCATCAAGTCCAACCATTGAAGATGTCACCTTGAGGCAAGGATACGTCCCTAGTGCTGTTGAAGGTGGATGGAGAGACAAGACAGAGGCAGGAGGGGCTAGGACTTGCCCAGTGCTGTGTCAAAGCCAAGACCCACGTTTGAGTCTGCTGGGGCTCAGCGTGGAGGCTCTCGTGGCAGCACTGTGGGTGGATAACACGGAGGCATTTGGCAGCAGCTCATCGCTGCCTTCCCTCTCTCATAACAGCTGCTGCTCCCGTGTTGTCTCCCAGTAATCTCCAATTTCCTCCAACATACAAGGCGTAACCGGGATGTCATTAGAGCTGATTGTGCGTGGTAGGAACCAGACCGCTGCATTATTTATTGCCAGCTGAATTGATGTGAGATGCCTGGAGCCCCCCTGATGGCTGATTCTCACAGATGTGGGGTTGAGGCTCCCTTCTCACTTCCTTCATTCTCACTTGGCCTCTCCCCTGCACCACCTCTGGTGTTCATCGGACCCTGTGCCAAACTGGTGCATCTCACTGGCCTGGCAGAAAGCTGGCATGGCAAAACCAATGATATCCATCTGTGCCATGCTGGCAGGTTGAATTGGCCAGCTGAGCCCCCAGTGTGGCACGGATGGGACCAGGGAACGTGGTACCGCGCTTTTTAAGATCCCAGGTTTTGGGCTTGCTCGGTGGTTACACGCAGCCTCACCCAACAGAGGTGGTTTCATGGCCAGGTTGTGTTTGAGTGTAAGTACTTGTGGACTTCAGGAGTCATTATCCTCCATTATCATTCATCCTTACAGGATAAAACATCTGTGAAGTTTGCTTACGTATTTAGTCTCACATTTTGGGCAATGAAGACAGAATAGTTGATTTCATTTCCTTGTGTGGTGCCCTGGCTTACTGCCATGAAGCAGCACTGGAAACGCTAATGGCAGTGTTGCTACCTTCTAGGTTTTATAAAACCATGAGTCAGGCCCAGTGGACTTAAAGAGGCTGGATTATTTGTCCTTTAAGACGAGTGCACTGTGTGTTACTTCCGTTACCCTTCTTAATTTTATGTCTTTGTGGTTCACATTGAGAGACTCAGAGAAGAGATCTCATGAGGTCATCATCCACCCATCTCCCTCCCTCAACCAGTGTCCAAGTTCTTCTTCACCAGCCCAAAGGTTGGACATGGGTTGTTTCATGTTGATTTAAGGACTTGAAACCCACCATGTATGTTCCAACTGAAGAGAGAGGAGGCTTGATTCTTCTTTTTTGGCACTAGTGTTGCTTGTCACTTCACAAGTTAGCAGAGAGCTGGCTCTGCTCTGCAGATTGTGATGCTACAAAGCACTGGTTCTACTGGTGACATCCCACATGTTCATTGCCGTCACTATGGTTGTGGCAGGTAGACATAATTCTGCTTGGGCTGATGATTATGCATGAAGATTTGGCCTTCAAGGCTGTTTATTGCTTTCCCTTTCCCTCCTCCTCCATTCCAGGCCTGTCCTACAGCTGTGGACGCGATAGGTGCTCAGCCTCTGCACCGAGCAGCCGTCACGGCCCAGGATGAAGCCATCCAGTTCCTCATCACCGAGCTGGGTGTCGATGTCAATGAGAGAGCGACAAGCCTCCAGCTCACAGCGCTCCACTACGCAGCCAAGGTTGGTCCCTGTTCCCAGGCTTCCTCTACAAAGTCACAAAGTCTCACAGAATCACAGAATCATTAAGGTTGGAAGATACCTCCAAGATAAGTCCAACCATCAACCCAACCCCACCATGGCCACTAAACCATGGCCCCAAGTGCCTCATCCACACACTTCTTGAACCCCTCCAGGGATGGGGACTCCTCCACCTCCGTGGGCAGCCCCTTCCAGTGCTCGACCACTCTTGCAGTACAGAAATTTTTCCTCATATCAAATCTAACCCTCCCCTGGCGCAACTTGAGGCCGTTTTCCCTTGTCCTATCATTGGTTACATGGAAGAAGAGACCAACACCCACCTCTCTACCCCCTCCTTTCAGGGAGTTGTAGAGGGTGATAAGGTCTCCCCTTGGTGTCCTCTTCTCCAAACTAAACACCCCCAACTCCCCAAGTCTCTGCCAGTTGCTGTGCTACCAGCAGGCATCTAAACCAGGCTGGTTTAGTTATTCACCACTGACTGAGGATTTACATAGCTCATCCTCTGTTATTATTTGCTCCTGCCCAGTCCCATACCCTGTTTAATGGTTTTTAGACCGTCATTAAGGGTGTCCAGCTGTTTGTAGGATGGTGGTGGGTACCCAAGTTGTTCTGTTCACCACCCTCCCAAATGTTACTCTTCCAGTCCGCTGCCTTTGGACCAAAATGCAGTACCTGAAGGGACCCCATCCTGCTCGTTGCTGGGAGCTGTGGGTACCAACACTTTCATGAACTGTGACAGCTCTTCATCAGCATCTTCTCACTCGCATGGAGGAGCAGACATGGATGTAACGCTGCTCAGATTTCTTTCTCTGTCTTTCTTCAGCTCTGGTGGGTTGGGTCCTGGCAGATTCAGTGGCGAGTCTCCATGTCAGCAGCTTGCTGGATAGAAAATAGCTGATGCTTTGTGAAACAGCAATTGTTTGTCCCAGTAGGCTGGATTCTGGCCTGCCCGTGGCCAGATGTGAGAAATGAGAGGTGGAAAAGCAGAGGGAGCTCCAGGGTGCTTATCAGTGTCCTTCACACAGGAGCTATTTTGAATTCCAGGCAGTGAGAATTGTCTGAGCTTTCTTCTCCTCCCATTTCAAGCCTGTGCAAGAAGCAGGGCCTGGTGGGCTGTGGGTCCTGCAACGCTCCTTGGGAGCGCAGAGGAGATCCCAAAAACCTCACGGCTGACCAGGATCCCTCCTGGGGACCCTGCTGCCTCCCTTCTGTTTGGTGCTGTGGCGCTGCAGCCTGCAACGAGGCCAGCAGCAAGGGAAGGCCCCTGCTCAGATCCCTGCATGTTAAACCTCATGAGCTTTAACATGCAGCACTCAGAGGCCGGTCTGGACTTGTAGTGGGAACGAAGCTGCATCCCAGCACCCAAATCCTACAAAAGCATCAATGACACTTACCGGGAGTGCTGGCAACAGTATTCTCCTCCAGCAGGACCCAGCCGTGGCATTCGTTGGCTCCCACAAAGGAGGCCTTTCTCCTTATGCTCTGAGAAACCATGTTGAAAGCCCTTTTGGTTGCCAAGGGTACGTTTAACAGCAAGGCTATTGGGAATATAATGTGCCTTGGAGAAGATCCCAGCTCTGCCTTGGCGAGTGGCTGATTGGGGAGTGATTTGATGGGTTTCTCTTCCTTCCCGAGGCTCCGTGTCACTTTATATTTACAGCATCATTTGTTTGGCTGGTGGGGTGTTGGTTTTTGGTTTTTTTTTTTTCCTTTTCTTATTACTTTGCATTTATAAATACATGAAAATCAAATTATGTTTTCAACTCAGTTTGCTGCCAAGGCCGTGGCAGTGAAAGCAGTTCCTGGGTGCTGAGAGTGGGTGTGCATGCAGTGGGGAAATGGGAGCCTTGAGCAGGGGGGGAAAGATGCTACCGAGTCGTACGATAATGGGGGAAAAGAGTGGGTGGTGGGGATAAAAATAAGAGCTTTCCATTCTCATGCTGCACGACAAAGGGTAATTCATTGCATTGAAGGAGTAATTACAAAATCAGGCGAGGAGAGGATTTATTTACGGAGAGGCTTGTGCAGAGAGGAGGGATGTGGGGGCTGCATTGCATTTTCCCCTGCAGCATTTCGAATCAGCTGCTGGCAGAGGAAAGACGGAGGACGCTGTGGGTTGTGAGGGTGTGTAAGTGTCACGTTCTGTGCCTTCTCGCAAGGCATTACAAATAGTGGAGTAATCTTCTAGGAAATGCCGGTGCCCGAGCGTACCGCAGGCAGATGTGCAAGTCGGCATCAGCAACAGGTTCTGCTCTCTGAGCTGAATCACAGAATCATGAAGGTTGGAAGAGACCTCCAAGATCATCAAGTCCAACATCAACCCAACCCCACCATGGCCACTAAACCATGGCCCCAAGTGCCACATCCAGGCGCTTCTTGAACCCCTCCAGGGATGGGGACTCCATCGCCTCCCTGGGCAGCCCCTTCCAGTGCTTGACCACTCTTGCAGTAATTTTCCCTCATATCTAATCTAAACCTCCCCTTTCACAACTTGAGGCCATTTTCCCTTGTCCTGTCACTGGTTACATGGAAGAAGAGACCAACACCCACCTCTCTACCCTCTCCTTTCAGGCAGTTGTAGAGAGCAATAAGGTCTCCCCTCAGTCTCCTCTTCTCCAGACTAAACACCTCCAGCTCCTTCAGCTGCTCCTCATAATTCTTGTGCTCCAGACCCTTCCCCAGTTGCGTTGCCCTTCTCTGGCCATGCTCCAGCCCCTCAATGTCCTTCTGGGAGTGAGGGGCCCAGAACTGACCCCAGGATTCGAGGTGTGGCCCCACCAGTGCCCAGTACAGGGGCACAATCAATTCCCTACTGCTGCCCACACCAGTCCTGATACAAAACAGGGTGCCATTGACCTTCTTGGCCACCTGGGCACACTACTGGCTCCGGGTTCATCGGCGTGCCCCCCACACCCCCCGCTCATGGCCATCCTGCTGGCCACCAACACCCCCAGGTCCTTTTCTGCCTGACAGCTCCAGCCACTCGTCTCCAAGCCTGTAGCGCTGCATGGGATTTATTGTGATCCAAGTGCAGGACCCGGCACTTGGCCTTGTTAAACCTCGTAAAATTGACCTCAGCCCATCAATCCAATAAGGTCCTGTGGAGCCTGAAGCAGCTCCTGGTAGCCCCAGACTTGACCGTGACAGAGTGGATCTACATTTGGACTAGATGATCTTTAAGGTCCTTTCCAACCTAAACCATTCTATGATTCTACATCTATGCCCTTCCAGGTACCTTACGCAGTTAGGGACAGATCGCTCACGGCCTCTTCTCTTTTCAGACCTGTGTTATTCATTCTGAATTTGCTCTCACTGCTGCAGGAAGGACACGCACACACCATCCAGACGCTGCTGTCCCTCGGCGCAGACGTCCACCTGAAGGATGGGAAGAGCCGTTCAGGTAAGGCTGCCAAGCTGTTTGTTCACCCTCTGTACGACAGCGAGGGTACACTTTAGTAACAGGAGCCCAGCCTCCAAAGCAGCCCGTGCTGTGTCCTCTCAGGGGGATGCCAGATGCACGTATGCAAATGGTTTTTGGAGCAGCATGACGTGTAAGTGGGGTTTTTTGGGGGGTTTTTTGCAGTTTTCATTCACTGGGTCTCTTCTTGCTGGACTTTCTGATGTCTAATGGTGTGGTCGAGCCTGCGCTGGGGCCTTTCCCTTGGGGGTGAAGAACAGAGATGCTAATTAGGGTTTCTCTTTACTCAGCTGCTTGTTTTGCAAGCTTAATCTGTTTGATACCACCACCTGGCCATCGAATTTGGTTGAAATTAGCCAGTTTGAAATGAGGCAGACAAATACAATTGCTCAAGCTCTAAAGTCTCACCTTAGCAAACTGCCTAGGAATGGCTTATGAGCAAGTAATGACAGACAGCTTGAACATAAATATAGTTGCTATAGTAATGCCAGTGAGTTGGCATTCCCAGCGTGAGAGCGTGAGGCATCTCTTGCATCAGCATCTCTCTGTCTCTAACAAAAAAAAAAGAAGTGTATACAAATGGTTTCAGCCACTGCCAAAATTGGCACCTTACCCAGTCTTCGGGTTCGCTTAATAACACGCTTCGGTAGCCAGCGTGAACAGTCTTGTGTCTCTCTTGATCTCTCCCTCCACCCCCTCAGTGAGTAAATTCGAGCTTTGCTAAACTCGTCCAACCCTGGGACATTTGTGGTGGCTCCCCATCGGGCTGCCCCATTCCCTGGCGCCTTTGCTGCGTTGTCACTGCATCCTGGGGAGCTTCTCACGCAGATTCTGCTCCTGCAGAGTATCCTGCATGGATTATCCTTGAGGATCAGGATGCCCCATGGTTCATATCAGCCTGCAGCAGGAGCTGATGAGCCTCAGTGTTAAAGATACCCCTGTGCAGGATTAGGCCAGGAGAAGGCAGCTGAGTCACCCTGCTGCACAAGCTGAGTGTAACAGGACTGCCCAACTGTGCTGGAATCACAGAATCACAGAATCATTGA